AAGCGGTGTTTGTTTTCACCTCTTCCCTCCCTCCTTGTTTCTAAAGAAAAAGAACTGTAAGTGTTCCCAAATATACTAGCAAAGTGCTAGTTTATTTTGAATGGAGATGTACAACCCCCCTTGCAACCTTTAGTTATGAGCAGGCTAAGAAGAAAAATTTTAGAGAGCCTCTTTAAGCTAGCTCTCTGTTCAGACCTTGGGCTTCTTGGGATCCCAGACCCTAAGTACATTACTCATTTGATGCCTAGGCTTTTGTCCTCCACCAGCCTATGTAGAGACCCTAGTGACGACGGTCTCAGCCCATCCTATACTCATGACCAGCTTCCTCTCTGGCAATGAGACCCCAGGAGAACACCTCTCTCCTACAGCCTACTGCCAGAGGTAAACTGGGACGTAAACAAGTCTGGTAGGATGAGGCTGGGCTTGGGGGAGATTGGATCTAAATGGATTTTCTCAAATAGTCAAATATATTTAACTTTTTTCCATCATTTTTCATGCCCTCATGCCTCACCCAATGGTTCTCATGCTTCAGAGATGAAAACCTGTCACAACCAACCAGAATAATGGAACTCATTAATTTGACAAACATTTGTTGAGTGACTACTATGTGCTAGATATTACTAGCACTTCTTCAAAGATATATGAGAGAATTCCAGCCTTTGAGACAAAGTGCACTGAGACAACTGATCTAAGTTATTCCTTGCACAGCCCAGAGAGAGGAGAGGAGTGAAGATAAGAGTATCTCTATGTCTTGACCCTTGACTAAAGTTGGCACTGGAAATTCATCTCCCTCCATGGAAGTGAGGCCACTGCTGTTGGCCATTCTTTGAATTCTCTGAGTCCTTATTTTCTCTACAGTAGAGTACCTTCAGTAAATAGCTTTTAAAAATTACCATTATTTAAGTCCAGCCTGCTGTTGCCCTCACATAGTAAAACTCTAATGAAGCATCTGTGTTATGAACCTGATGAAAACCGCCCCTGGGCTCCTCTTGCCTGGAATGCTCTCTCCCCAACTACACTTGCCAAGCTCAGTGGTTAATGCCCCCAGAAGCATTCACCCTCTGCTCACCACCCCCCACCCCAGCACTTTGTACCTCTCTCAGCAGACTTATCATACTTTTTATATCCTCCTGGATGTCACAGTCATTTGTGTATGTGGCTTAGTTCTTTTACCGGGCTGTTAGATCCTTGAACTAATTCATCTTCTTTTCTCCCTGTCCTATCATGGCAACTAGCTTGTACCTTGTGAGGACTCTCTAAATGTTTCTTGATGTCAAATTAAGTTGTTGGTCCATCTGTTATTCTCAACCTGACCTCAAGTTTGTATGACAAGAGTTCTCCTTGGTCCTGACACTAGTTTTATAATGAAATGCTCCATTATTGCAATGATGCAATACTTTTGAAAGTTATTGAAAGCATTTCCTTCATCCCATTGTTCAAAGGAGGTCCAATTTTATTTTTTGCAACCTTGCAAAACCAGGTCAAAAATAATCTGGAATATTTTATAATTTCTCTGGATCTCAGTCTTGCAATAGAGAGTATCTTTAACTGTTATTAAAGCCTGTGAAAGAGTAGTACCTATGGGAGCCTTGCATGGTTATGCTGACCCATACAGTGTATACCTGGCCAGTGAGCTGATGAAGGAGACCTAGGATAGCCTTCCAGTAGAAGAGCTAGTTTAGCAATGATCTGAATGCGAGCATAAATGGCAACAAAGCAAATTTACTATTTTGGGGGTCCTCCTGCATGTTTTCTTATCTTACCCATATTCTATGTTTGGGAAGTTACTTGAAAAACTACCAACCCAAAGAGCTGGTTGACGAAATTCAATGACGAAATTGATACGGGATCAAATAGTTGAAGGCAATTTTTTCATGTAATTATTTACATCATACCCTTCTATGGAGAAGGACCCTGAAATGTACCATAGAGAGAACATCATGTTCTCTGAGTGATGGGTGCTTCTGTAGAGTAAATTCTGAAGCAATAATTGGGTACTGAAATTCCTGACAGGGTGGAGCCCTGTTAAGCTTTATGAAGATTCACCAAAATTCATGGCAACTGGATCAATCTTCATGATAAATGCCACTGTGCTGGTCTTTTGCATAGACTCCAGAATCTGACAGCTAGTTGGAATTCAAGAGCTCTTACTAGTCCACAAGCCGTAAGGCTGAAGTTCAAAGTACAGAATCAAACCCTGTTGAATTGTAGCCACTCTAATATTTCTAAAGACGTCTCACTTTTTTTTTTTGTTAAGATTTATTTATTTATTTATTTGACAGAGAGAGACAGAGCAAGAGAGCGCGCACAAGCAGGGGGAGTGGGAGAGGGAGAAGCAGGCTTCCCGCCGAGCAGGGAGCCCGATGCGGGGCTTGATCCCAGGACCCTGGGATCATGACCTGAGCTGAAGGCAGACACTTAACCACTGAGCCACCCAGGCGCCCCTAAGACGTCACACTTTTATGTACTATGTTCAGGTGGTGTAGTAGAATAAGTGCCTTGGAAGTGAAACAAAACCAAACATGTGGGTTTTGTCCCCAGCTCTCTATTGCTAACCAGCTATATGACTCTGGGCAACTGATATTCAGGGCCTTTGTTCAACGATATAAAACAAGCAGAAATTAGACTGTTTCTCAAAGCCTTGTCCTCAGACCAATTCATCTGGGCGTGGGATGGGACTTGCTATAAAAATTCACATTACTGCGTCCCGCCACAGTCCTACTGATTCAGTGCTTTTGGGGAATGGGGTCAGGAATCTGTTTTTTAAAATAAGCTTCCCAGGTGATTCTTGTGCACATTAAAGTTTCTTTTCTACACTTTTTTTTTTTTTGAAGGATAACACGCTCATTAAAGTTGGAGGATTATAGGATTAGAATTTCTCTCAGATTCCTTCCAACTTTAAAGAATTCTAGGGGTGCCTGGGTGGCTCAGTTGGTTGGGCGTCTGATTCTTGGTTTTGACTCAGGTCCTGATCTCAGGGTCGTGAGATCAAGCCCCACGTTGGGCTCTGTGTTCAGCGGGGAGTCTGCTTGAAGATTCTCTCCCTGTGCCCCTCCTCCCACTTCCTCCCTCTCCCTCTCTCAAATAAATAAATAAATCTTAAAGAAAATAATTCTTTTTAGAAGCAGTCCATTCAACACATTTACAAATGGGTACCTCTACTAAGCAGCCAGCTTTGGACTCCCTGTTATCTCCTTTACAGGTCAGAGTGTAATTCTGCATGGCATACAATGGTTTCTTAGTGATTTGGAAAAGTGGAATGTTTTCCAAATGTGTGGCCTTTCTCAAAGGTCAGTTTACTGCCAGAGTGCTGTTAGGTGCACTGGAAAGTCTGGTTCAAATTGGATGTGAGTGCCCAAACTTCACATACTCTCCACATACACTGACCTAAATGTAATGCTTAATGGCAGGGGACTGTTGCCTGAGTGGGGAAGGAGATATCTGGCTGTGTTTCTGACTTGATTACAGAACCAATCTCTGCAGTTCCTGACCTCCCTCACAGGGAGCCTGAGGTGCTATGCAAGTAAACAGTATTTAAGTACCCCCCTAGAGGGGTAAAAAGATCACTGTGATGATAACTTTCTTTGGAACCAAAAGGTAAACTAATAGGTTTAAGAGTCTTCCAGTTACTAAGAGGTTAAGTTGTCTCTTTTCTCAGGCAACTAGAAATTGTTGGGAATTTTCTTGAAGGGACCATCCCCTTTACACAACTTGGCTGTCTTTAAGTTGAACCCCTGTTTTTAAACATTTATACAAAGTCTTCATTTTTTGTATTATTTTATGCCACATGAAACAGGTGGGTAACTTTCTTGGTTTCCCGCAAGCTAACAGACATCTTTCTGCAACACTAGGCAAGATGCTTAGCTTGCATCAGTTTCCTTAGTTGTGAAATGTAGGGGAAGAGCAGAGGATGCTTAATCCATTCGAGCTCTAGCACTACATCCATGTAGAAGAAGGTAGCATGATATGGGGGAATTCATGGGCTTTGAAGTTGGATGGACCTGGGCTAGAATTTTAAGCTTAGTTTTCTCAATTGTCTAACAGGGGATAATGACATGCTATCTCTCAGGGTAATAAAAGCACTCAGCATAGGGGTTGGCACAGAAAGGCATTCAGAAAGGTGAGGCCTCCTGGCTCCCTATTTCTTCGTCTTTCAGCTCACATCTGGTTGGGCCTCCCTTTACTGACAGAGTGAGAAGCAACTCCTAGTCCTTATTCCCGCTCTAGGAAGGAAAACCAACAGTCCTGTGGGAAACAGGTTCTTGGTTTCTTCCTGGCCCTGTCACCCCTGGAGCATGAAGTTACCATTTCAGGTTTGTTGAAGCGTGGCAAGAGGTAACTCCAGAACCAAAGGTCACTTGGGCTACAGATGTAATGGGGGCTGACAAGGGCACAGCAGCAGATCCCTAAAATCTTCTTCTTGGGGAGCAGGTGGAGTAACCTTCTCTCTGCAGTGAGAATCTAGAAAGGCTAACAGCATTTGAGAGCTGGAAGCAACCAGGAAGACCCTCTATTAGAGGAGGAAACCAAGGGACAGGGAGGGAAAGTGACTTTCTCATGCTCACATCGCCAATCAAACAGCAGAGATAAGAACATTCTGGATCCTCTAGAGTTCACACTCAAAGGCTCTCTGCATCTTAACGCAAATATTGTCAGTATAGGTTCAGAGCTTGGACTCTGGAGGTAGATAGCTCTGGTGAACCCCTCTCCTCCCAGCTCTGTGACCTGGGGCATAAGGCGTCACCCCTCTGGTCTCAGTGGTCTCATCTACAAAGCCGGGTAGTAAACCCTACCTGTTGTTAGGATTAAAGGCAACACTTCGTGCCTAACGCAGTGCCTGGCTCGGCTTCCACAACAGGTTGTCCTAACGATCACTGGCGTTCCTCTACCCTTCCAGTTCGGATCTGGACTTCCCTTTGCAACCCTCTAGGGCATGCAGGGGCGAGTGTGTCACGGTGCCGAGGAGCCCGCAGCCAGGGCGGGCGCTCCGCGGGGCTCACCTGACGAGGCCAGAAGCACCTTCGCGCCGCAGCACTGGAAGCAGTGCAACAGGGACTTCGCGCGGATGTTGTAGTTGAGGCACGCCATGGCACAGCCCAGTTTGACCAGCCCCAGCCACAGCCACACGTAGGCTGGCTCGTTGCCCATGAAGATCGCCACGCAGTCTCCCTGGCGCAGGCCGAGGTGGGCCCGCAGCGCCCGCGCCACCTGGTTGCTGCGCCGGTCCACCTGCGAGTAGGTGAGCGTCTCGTCGCGGAAAAGCAGGAAGGGCTTGTGCGGGCTCTTGCGCGCTTTCTGCAGAAAGAGGTGCAGGATGGTGCGCACCGGCCGCCTCTGCCGGTAGCTGCGCACCTGCCGGGCCACGCGGGCCAGCCGCAGGAAGTAACGCATGTCCTGGAACAAGTAGGGGCAGCAGAGGTTCACCAGCAGCGGCAGGAGCAGCAGCCCCGCCAGGGCCGTGTAGATGGCGGGCAGCATGACGGTGGCGGGGCCCCCTGTCCCCGCGAGGACAGTGGGTGCGCTCCAGGCGTGCAGCGCGGCGGCCGGGAGGGCTCCGGACGGACGGCAGGCGGGCTGCGCGGGGGCGCGGGGCGAGGCTGGGGCCACCGCGGGGCGCCTGGGCTGCGGGCACCAATGCTGGCTCCCGGGGAGGTGGAGCGGTGTGTGGACTGCGCGGGTGCGGGGCGGGAGAGGACGGTGAGCCCGCCCCCTTGTGGGTGTGCAGCTACCTGGGCCGGCAAGGCTGCACGGCGGCTCGCCCGGGTTTCGACCGCCGCTTGGCGCGAAGCAGGGATCTGTCTTGTGACCGATGTACTTTATACCTCCGAGCCACAGTTTCCCTGTCAAAATGCTGATGACAAGACGCACTTAGCGGACGTGGAGAAGTTTAGAAGAGAGAGTGTAGGCATAGGGTTGTTATTTCTGGCTACCACCAGCGGAGTGCCTTACAGAAGTGATTTAATGTTAGTATCAGTAAAGCGCTTTATAAATGTGAGAGTCCGGTTATTAATTAGTAATGGGTACCAGGTGCCACTGCCACATCGGATTCCCGCCTGTCCCTTCCTGGTCCCAGAGGCTTTCCACCTCGTCTCTGGTTTTCAGATTGGCACCCCGCCCCCCCGCCCCGCCCAAGTGCCGGGCGGTCTCCTGGGGCGAGGATTTCAAGGTTGAACAGAAGCACCAGCCGTTGTCACCTCTGTCTCCTCCCAGTCCCTGGGCTGTGGGTAAGGACAGGACACTGGTCGGAGTCGGGCCTCGGCCGGCGCAGCCAGTCCAGATGGGGCGTGAGGTAGGGCCACACTCTTGCCTGCTGAAATCAAGCTCCGGCGATCTTAGACTTTCATTTGTTTGTATGCTTGTTTGACTTTTAATATTTTGTCCTAAGGGATTTTTCTCTCTCGTATGTTGAAGATTTTCAACTAGTGTTAGCCTAATTCAACAGACATTTACTAAGGGGTTCTATCAGAGAACATTACAACACAGAGGACATTAAGTAAACATTCGCATCTCTCAAAAGCCAATTTTTTTTTTTTTTTTTTTAGTGTGATCCTCTCTTTTAATTTCCCTTAGTGCTGCTTCTATAAATAAAGTGAATACTTGCGGCTTGCTACCGAGGAGGGTCAGGATCCAAGGAAAGCAGTGTTCTTTCTTCCCCTCCTGTCTTCCTGCATTCATCATCTTATTCTTATGAGATAGCCACACCTAATGAATGCCTACTCCTGCCGGACACTCTGCTAGGGGCTTCCCTGTAATATATTTTTTGGGAGCCTCACAGTCATCTAAAGGGGGCACTTTCATGCTCATTTACAGACAGGAAAGGGACACTTCGGTAAATTAAGAGAGCTAGTATGTGACTCATGAGTTTTGAAACTGGTATCTGTTTGGCCCTGGGGCCCTTCCTTAGCAACCACCGTTCACTGCCTATTCTCTAGGTTTCTATCCATGTTCTTTTCAGCAGTCTTCTTTAATTTTCTTTTTCACAATCTTCCCCCCTCCATTTTTTTTTTTTTTTTAGCCCCCTCATTTTATTCCTGGGACCTGCTCAAGCAACCCTTCCTTTGCCTTTTCCTGAATCTTTCACGGCAGATCCCACTACCCTGGAGTGATGGGTTTACATCATTTCTCTGGCATGGGTTGGGGGCCTTGATTATCCCTGAGGAGTTGACTGTAGTGTTAACCAAAGGAGGGATCAGGACAGAAACCATTCTTGTAGGCACCTTTTCTTTCATGTTGAAGCTCAGAGCAGCCCTCCCTTGACATCCCAATGCCACCCCTGTCCCTTCACGGCTAGTCACTTCAGTAGCCTCCTAGACACCCCCCCCCCGTCATGCCTTTGAATAGCTACTTTCCAGAGTGCTAGACTGTTGCAAATGCTCCCTTTCTTCCCTCTTATTTTGAGGATCACTTTATCCTTGTGCCTCAGCAGTTTTTCAGTTCCAAGTGAAAGAACACAAGATCCAAACTTGCTTACGTAGAAATAGGAGTTTAAGCAGCTACTGCAGAGTCCAGGGGTAGGACAGGCTTCGGATGAGCCTTCATTGGTGGCTTAAGTGCTAGGACCTGGACCCCGTTTCCCTTCCACCATTTCTTTGCTCCACCTCCTCTGTTCTCATGTAGGCTCCCCCTCATCATCCAAAGATGACTGCCAACCAGCGTTTTAGGGTTATATGCTTCCCACGTCAACTTCAGACAGAAATATAAGAATCTTTTTCTTAGTTCTTATTTAAAGAAAAAAAGAAATCTCTGATTGGGTTATGGGCCCATCCCCAGAGCAGTCTTTGTGGCCTAGGGAACAGAAATGTTGATTGCGTTAAGCCAAACAAGGCTCACCGGTGGAGCTGGGGTAGAGTTAATAGTACATATCTTGGAACTCTTTTTCCCAATGATTCTAGCTTCAAGCCTGGGCTCCACCTTGCACTCTACCACCAGGCTAATGTCTTCCTGGAAATACTGCTATCATCTTATGACTGCCTAGTCATCTTCAGTGGCTCCCCATTTGCTTCCTGTCTTCTCGAATTGTTATATATGAACAGCATGCTTAAATATACCTGGGCTGGAGCTGACCGTATGCTCTGGGTCCTGCCTGGTTCTCTTGGGGGTAGAAGAGATCAGTAACTTAGCACATTGGTTACCCATTCTAGGAACATCTGCTGGGAAACTCTGGTTAATAAATGAAGTTCAGACTTTATTTTCTGACTCTTCTGAATCTGACTTGAACTTTCACTGTACTCAATAACTATTTATTGAGTTTCCACTATAAGCAGAACATCACCAGGCATTAAATATTTTGAAATGGACCAAAACTTAATTCCAACTATTCCTTTTCAAAAACATCTTATTTTAGTAAATCTGGTCTATAACCTCAAAAAAAAAAAAAAAAAAAAAAAGGCCCTGCACATTCCTCTCTCTATGGCTTTGTTCTGGCTTCTTTCAAACACCCCTGAACTCTCCCCTCTAAATCCTAACTCTCCTTTAAGGTAGCGGTTCATAGATGTCTGGCTTTCTCAGTCCATTTGCATTTCAAAACAAAGTTAAGAACCCCAAATAAAATACCAACTTTTACATTTTTCAAGTAAAAACAGCTCCCTGCCCACCAACTACGGTCTGTTTTTATTATTATTTCATAAAAGAATGACTTCTTTAGCACTAAAAAGGAAAGTATAACTGAACCAGACACTCAGAAATGGCTAATTTTACATTATGTATCTTTTGCCACAGAAATACACAAAACAGGGAAAAACACACACAAAAAGAGGAATTCAGTCCTTTTCAAGAACGGATAACAATAACGCACCAACATATAAAAAAGATAGAGATTAAAATATTTTCGAATATAGAAAAATACTTTTATTTGGTTTATTATATCATATACAAATAGTTTCTATGCAAGCTTATCCATTTGGAAATATAAACTCAACAGTGAAGCATGAAGTAGAACCAGATCTTGGGCTTTGATATAACTTAGGATTGTTTCAGCACTGAGACCAGACCTCAAACCCAGAGCCTCTCCACCCCAGTGTCCTTAGTAAGGCTGTCTACTCCCCACCTCTCCCATGCCCCTACACCCGCTGAGCCTGTCTGCTACCTTCCCTGGGATCTAGATTTTCAAGTCTAGTCCTTTCATGGCTAAGCACTTGAGTGCAGCCTCCTAGACTCCTTGTTTCCTTAAACTTTCTACCCAGAGTGCTAGGTCACCTCAAAGGTCCACTCTCTTCGATCTTATTCTGTGACATTGCTGGAGGAAGTCAGGGGATAGACGTGATTCCTGTGAGTGCACGCTGGCACCTTCTAGCCTTGGTCAGGACTTGTCTGCTGCTTCAGTCCCATTCATCCATCTCTGCTGGTGTCCTGGAGAAGGCCTCTCAGTGACAGTTCCCAACTCCCTTCAAAGTCCCCAAACCCAGCCACAACTGTTCTTTCAAAGTGGGTGGTCACCCCTCCTACTTTATGGAGATGAAGTAGCCCACTGGTTCTCAAACTAAATGGCCATCAAAATTACCCAGAAAGCATGCTAAAATATAGCTTGCTAAATTTTTCTTTTTTTTTTTCCACTTGCTAAATTTTCTGATTCAATAAATCTTGCGTGGGGCCAAAGAATTAATGTTTTGAAGAAGTTCCCAGAAAATACTGATGCTGCTGGTCCAGGGACTACACTTTGAAAACCACATATTTAGCTCAGTTGTTTCCCATGTGCTCAGCAGAGCCCCGGGACTGCTGAAGAGCCACTGAGGAGAATTCCTTGCTGAACCTGGGAAAGGGGTTCTGGAATCCTACACTAGCTCATCCGAGCAGCTCCATATATGTCTCTTTTACAAATTGGACTTCCACGTAGACCTCCCATGAGCAAAGTTTTCCAAAAACATCTTCTTTTAAATCCTCTAGCCCATGAGGATCTATCTCTTGTCCTGAACTTATAAACCCACCACACAGCTTGGCTTTTGATTTTGTGTCTGTTAGTTTTGCCTTTCCCAAATAGAATTCAGCTTTCCAGAATGAAGTCACGGTAAAGAGCATGAGACTTAAAGTCAGAGAACATGGGTTCAAGTCCTCGTCCATCACATATTGGCTGACATAACTCACCTCAAGGTTACTAGGAAATGCTGAGCAGTTACCTTGTATTAATTCTGTAGGCCTTGAGGTAGTGCATGCACAGGGGCGATAGTTGGCAAAGATGTATACATTATGAAGCCTGCCATTTTGTGACATTACTTAGTATAAATAGGAATCTTGTGATTGACTCATTCAATGGCTTATGAGAAAGGCTGCCACTGTGTTGTCTTCCAGGAATCAATCACATTTCTTGAAATGAGGGGTGCCTACTATCCTGTGGAATAGCCAGCATGGTGGCGTTTGGGTAGGGGTGTACAGAATGTGTAGTATTCAGAGAGGGACATGGTAAGAGGTCAGCAGGGATGGCATATGCTGAGATTGGCCCTTCTTTTGGAGAAACGAAGGAGAGGAGAGCCTGGGGATGATGGGTTGTTGGTATTAGACATGAGGGAGCAGAGGGCTCCTCCTCTATTTTTTTTTTTTTTTTGGCATCCCAGTTGGGCTTGCTAACTACATAATCAAGACAAAATACAATTTGAAAAAAAGGTGTTTGTTCTTACTAGTTCTGACCAGAATGCCTTTGATTTGGGGTGGAA